AGCCCTCGCTCCATTATCAGTGGACAACCAAACCTAGCTAATTGATACAAATGGTACACTTGATGACAGACCAGCCAAGAATGATTTATTATACGATAATAAATTACTATTTTAACAGAAACACCAGGCAAAAAAACGATGAGAATGACATTTTACACAGATAGTTTTGAACGTTTGCGGAACATCAATGGTATAGGTTTCCTGACTCGTCTAACTATAATATCAGTGAAAAGATTGTTTGTAATTGTGTGAATTTACCAGTAGAGATATTATACGTCGGCGACGGTGTAGATTTGATAGCAAACAGTTGTGAAAGTCATTAATAATTCATGAAGAAAACACAAACGAAATCAGAGCGTGAAGGAGTTTGTATATCTGATACAAAATCATGCTGATCAACATAAACTTTAAGCTCAATTTTCTCACCAAATATCATTCATTTATTTGAAATTGTTGAAGAATACGAATGTTCTCATCAAGAAGTTTCACAAGCCATTAGGGGGGAGCTTAACATACCTACGACGCGGACGTGACGAAAAACTGCCGCTATTTTCACAGTTTCGCCTGACGGGTAAAAACTATGGATTGTTGTTGGTGTAAACAAAGCCAGGGACACGAGAAAAACAAAGTAAAACTAGTCTCCTGTTATTAGTGACTGTTTTTTAGTCGCGTCGCAGATTTGGTGCGTCTTAAGCTCGGCGCTATTTACAACATTCGCGTCCGCGTTGTATCCGCTATCTTAGTCTTTCAAGCGTTCTAAAACTCATTAGAATATTCTATTTAAGGGACTGGTCATAAAGTAACTGCTAGGGTGGGCTGGAGGTAAATCACAAATTTTGCCAATACGTTCGGTGACCCATCTTAGGATGTAGATGAAAATTTCAAAGCCCATCTAATGTTACAAAATATTTTTCATGACCCACCCAATCTAAGTTGGGAAAATACACTTTTATAATAAAAAATTGCAGGTATGAACATTGTAAATATACACGGCACTGTATTAACATACATAATTCCACCAAGCTTGACAGATACTGAGCTGCTCTCCAGTTGGTTGTATTTGCTGTGATTCGACCACTTCTTGTTGTTGTATAAACAAAGTACTGGCTTCAATAGCATCATTTGCATTTGATAATTTGGATAGTTTTGTTT